CTAAATTAAGCACTCACCATTGCGCGTCGTCCCACGGTGTCCAGGGTCCACCAGCCATCCTGTCGCTGCATCTGGCACTGCAATGGTCCTCGCGTCCCACGTCGCCTGTAATTCACTCCCGACCGCGGTAATCTAACGGAAGTTTCACGAAAATTCCTCTTGGAGGTTATACTCCGAGTTGCGAATCGCGTATGAAATATCGCGAACTGCGTTTTTAAGGAAAAGTCGGCCTTTCAGATAAACGACAAGTACAACGAATTCGGCTTGATTCAGTTATAGTGTATTGCTTTGATACAAGCGCGGCGCGAAACGAAGGCTGATCTCGCGAAATCTTTCGACGCGTAGACGAAGTAATCGTATGAGATTATCACGTACGACACGGAATAGTCCTAATGTAACGTTTCGATGGAGCAGCGTAGTAGACTGCAATACAGTTCCGCAATATTTTTGCGGATAACAAGTTCGCAATACTCTTGCGAAAACAATTCCGCAATACTTTTGCGGATAACAGCTCCGCAATACTCTTTTGCGGAGACAATTCCGCAATACTTTTGCGGATAACAGCTCCGCAGTACTTTTGCGAAAACAATTCCGCAATACTTTTGCGGATAACAACTCCGCAATATTTCTGCGAAGTTTGCTCGCGACTCATCCGCAAATACGATCCAGTGAAATTCGTAAATCTATCAAATTAATAATCGCGAACGCAAACATGAATGAAAAATCAAAAACTTTGAAAATTGTAACGATAGAGATAAAGATTCTATTCAAAATTCACGCGAAAAAAATATTACCGTGTGAGACGTCTGTCTTCGTTCAATGGAACTTGTCACGCGCCGCGTAAATAAACAAACAATTACTCGTATGTCTGACTTGTATATATCGCCTTTTTTCGCGAGAGATCAACGCTCACTAGCATTGTTTCTAATGTCTCGCGTTAGGAAACTAACTCTAAGTGAAAAATTGAAAACCAAAAATTCTCCAACGATTGTAAATTTAATTTCACGAGCAGTTTATGTATTTACGTTAGATCGTTTCGCGCAGGCACCGCAAGATATCGAATTTTATTTAATAACGAGACATGAACTCTATACTTTACGAAATGTAATCGCAACGCAAACTCATGCGAGAGAGAAAATAGAGAAAATTAACGACCGGCGGAAGATCTATTGGCGCGAGTGATGTGATCGCGCATTTTCTGCGGCGCAATCTCTTTGCACGTTGGCGTACTGCTGGAGACACCTAGAAGATCGCATTCAACAAAATTGAATAATTTTACAAAATTTTGAGTATTCAGAGCGTATACTCAATACTTTAAGCATCTACCAGATAGTGTTGGAGTTTGATTAATCAAAATTTCTTCCGATAAAAATCGTCTACCAATCAATAATCTAAGTTAATCAATTAATAAATATATGTACATTAAGAGAAAACTACTTAAAAATTTATTTGCCAAATTTATGTAGAATATGCATTATTAAATTATTCTTTGAAAAAGCGATCTTCCAAATGTTTCGAGCAGAATGCTTTTTATTAGACGGCACATACGCATACTACAACTACAGCAAAGTAAATCGCATTGGTTCATAAGCATGCACTACATCAAAAGACTTTTTGTCTTTCTATTATTAATGTTTCTTGTTTTCACTCACCGAACCGCCGATCAGGGCAGCCGCGTTCTGCTTTCGTTTCTGGAACAGAAAAATGCCGTTTCGCCGATTAGATTCGTGTATTAATGTCGATTTGAGTGAAAAAGTTTAAAAGATTAAAAAAAATAAGCGCGATATTTTTCATGCTGGGAGAGTTTTTCGGGATGCATTCACACTAAAATATCCCACTTCTTTTTTTAACGCGATCTCTGATTCGATTTAAATTATCTCGATTTCGAACAAAAGAATTATCAATCGTGTTGGATTTCTAATTACAAATGCAAATGAAACTCACCTTCGAGCTAACCCCGCTCGGCCCGAGCCGGATCCTTCGGCGCAGCAGCCCTTAAGAGTCAGCTGGTTGTCTGCTTCGTCTCTGCAACAGAAAGCAGATTTAATTTAGTATTACGTACGACAATAGAGGTATTAAGGAGCTCGATTTCAGGAACAGAATTTCTAATTTCATCAGATTTCTAATTATGAATTCAAATCAGTAAAACTCACCTTCGCGCCAACTCTGCCAGGCCCGAGCCAGATCCTCCGGCGCAGCATCCCCTTAGAATCGAGTACTCGTCTCTGCAACAAAAAACAAATTTAATTGAGTACTAATTAGTTACCCGGCGATAGAGATATTAAGGAACTCGATTCCAAACAAGAAAATGTTCAGTTTTGTCGAACTTCTAATTATAAATACAAATTAGTAAAGCTCACCTTCGAGCCAACTCAGAAAGGTCCGAGCCGAATCCTTCGGCGCGGCATCTCCCAGGCATCACATCCCCTAAATCCGCGTGACTACGTCTGTTCTATTGAACCTCTGTGACAGAAATTTAATTTAATTAATAATTTAATAATTTAGTATCGATTAGTTACACGCGACAGCAAGACGAGGAAAAGAAATTGTCGTAACGGCACGCTCGAGTTCCTCCCCAATGCGCGATAAAAAATAATTAAATAATAGCCGAACAAGTAGTAATAATATTCGATTAATAATACTCGATTAATGGATGATGATAATAATATCTGATCGACAACCATATAATAATATACGATAATATCAATTAATTACACACGACAACAAGACAAGGTAAAGAAATCGTTGTAACGGCACGCTCAAGTTACTTCCCAATACGCCATAAAAATAATTAAATGACAACCGAATAAAGAAATAATAATACTCGAATAATAAATGGATGATGATAATAATTAATCGGCATTGAGGAACTCGATCGCGACGTTTCTCTATCTAACAAGTAAAAGGTAAATAAAACGCGATAATTACCTGTCGCGGTAAAGTTCGCAACACCTGCTCACGTGATAAGTACGCGTCTTAATTCGTCTTAATTATTGCCTTAATTGTCGCGAAGTCGAAACGCGGTATTAAAAATTGGCGCGGAATAGTCTAGAAAATAACGCGGTAGCTCCCGATGTGCTCGTCTCAATAGTTGAGAGTGTTATGGCATGACGCTCGACACGTACTCGCGCACGCATGTTTACATGACCGCCCCCCCCCCCATGCGCCGCTCAGTCAACGGCCCGAGCGTGCCGTTACGGCGGTATGTTTACCTAGCTTTGTGGAGCCTAGAGTTTTTGTTAGAACCGTTGCCCAGGTATTGTATTACCGATTATTCTATCATCATTATTTCGTTATTTTCCACTCGCGAAAATTATCACACGATTGTCGAACAAATATTATTATTACTACTATGTAATATTCGAGTATTATTACTTCTTTATTCGATTAGTATTTAATTATTGCTATTACGCGTAGGAAAACAACTCAGACGCACCGTTATGATGATTTCGTTACCTCGTCTTTGTTCAGTTATTATCGTCATTGTCCAATTATTGTTATTCATTGTTATTACTGATTATTCGATCATTATTATTCCCTTATTATCTGCTCGCGGCTATTATCATACAATTATCGATCAGGTATTATTATAATTATTATAAAAAAATAAAAATATTCGAATAATAAAAAAAGTAATAATATTCGAATAATAATAATGGTAGTGATAATAATACCTGATCGACAATCGTACGATAATATCCGCGAGTGGATAATAACTGAATAACGATAATCAAATAATCAGTAATAACAATGAATAACAATAACTGGGCAATGGCGATAATAACTGAACAAAGACGAGGTGAAGAAATCGTCGTAACGACACGCCCGAGTTGCTTTCCTACGCGTAATAGCAATAATTAAATAATAATCAAATAAATTAAATAATAACAGAATAAAGAAGTAATAATACTCAAATAATAAATGGATGATGATAATATTTTATCGGCATTGAGGAACTCGATCACGATGTTTCTCTATCTAACAAGTAAAAAAGTAAATAAAACGCGGTAATAACCTGTCGCGATAAAACTCGCAACATCTGCTCACGTGATAAGTACGCGTCTTAATTCGTCTTAATTGTTGTCTTAATTGTCACGAAGCCGAAACGCGGTATTAAAAATCGGCGCAAAATAGTCTAGAAAATAACGCGGCAGCTCCCGATGTGCTCGTCTCAACAGTTGAGTGTTATGGCATGACGCTCGACCACGTATTCGCGACGCATGTTTACATGATCCGGCCGCGCCGCCCTCCTCTTCCTCCCATGCGCCGCTCAGTCAGCGGCCCAAGCGTACGGTTACGACGGTGTGTTTATCTAGTCTTTGTGGAGCCTAGAGTTTTTGTTAGAACCGTTGCCCAGGTATTGTTATTAGCGATTGTTCGATCATCGTTATTCAGTTATTATCCGTTCGCGGATATTGTCACACGATTGTCGAGCAGATGTTATTATCACTACCATTTATTATTCGAGTATTATTACTTTTTTACTCGGTTCTTATTTAATGTATTCGGTTATTATTTAATTATTGCTATTACACGTAGAAAAGCGTAAGTGTATCTTTTTTTCCTTGAAAAATTACGCAGAACGCAGCGCGAGGAAGACGAGACTGAGGAGAAATGATCTAGTTTTGCGACAATGGCCTGGTTTACATCGTGCACTTGATACGTACTAAATAGTAACTTTCTATTAAATAATTTTAATATTGACAATGCATATGAACGACGACGCATTTAATCGATACATCTTGATGAGTATTATACCAGTTACGTCGCGCGGTCCGCTCATCAGTGGTGAGACAAAAATAGAGCGATTAGACGTCTGTCCTTTTCTAACTTACTCATTGTACGGAAGTACGGACATAAACCAGGCGTATCTTATTACCATCTTATTACCACCGCGAGAATGCGCCTAACAAACGTAGTAAAGGCGCACTTTGTTAAATGGCGTCTCGAAAATGCGCCTAGCTCTGGCCATTGAAATCAGGCTGGTGGCCGCTTTCATGCTTCTCTGGCTGCGTTCGGGGAGACGCTATTTAGCGCTATGAGTGTGCTCTGTCCTTGTTTGTTCCTGAAAGTTGAACAAAGATAGAGCTAAATAACGTCTCCCCGAAAGTAGCCTTCCTGTCACTTAGTATTTAGTATTTAGTATTTTTACTTCTAATAATTTAACTTAGTATTTTTACTTCTAATGATTCTAAGCAATGTACTATTTCCATTATATCTTACGTTATATTAGTTATATTATTTAAATTCGCGAATGAAATATAAGACTCAACACATAATATCCCTTGTCCACAACCTTGCTTTAATCTATAAGCCGTAAGAAATTGACTAACTCTACAGTCGATTATTTTAAAAATAAAATTTTAAAAATAATTAACTGTGGTTGGTCAATATCTTACGACTTAAAGATTAAAGCAAGATTGTGGACAAGGGGATAGTCCCAAATACAAGGTTGTACTCACCGGTTACCCTTTCGCAACTTGAAGAACTCCGTATTGCTATATGATGAACGAGTGCTCCGAGACTTCCTTCAATCATTTGGCGAATCGGAGGAAGAGCCACAGTCCAATGATATGAATTTCGATTACTGTAACATGTCCAGCACGTGAGATATATATTTCATTCGACACACGCACTCCCGATGATAATTTCCGCACCAGATTTTTCAACGGTTTGTAAGTATAACGTCCAATGATTTGAACTCAGCAACGTTACAGAGCAACAAACTCACGAAACTATTCAACACTTTAGCGACTCAAGATACTCACACTCGATGACTACTTGGCGATATTTCATATAACGAACGCGCGTAACTTACTCTCAGCATTCGCGGCGACAATATTTCACATGCATGACCTGTCGATGCGTTGATATCACACGAAATACGAGACAGCTTCCCAACACCGTGCTAACGTTCACCGCCATTAGTCTTTTAACTGACCGTAGCTGCATATCACAATTATTGAGAACCTCGAAGATTATCGAGACACGCAACGCAGCCACCCCACCTAATCACGGTAGTCCGTTTGCACTCGCATAGCGACAGCTTCACGTCGTGTGACGTTACGTTCAAATGTTGCATTTGTTACATCTTTTCGCCGGGAATTGACAATGTGAAGGAAACTCGGGCAGCCGATAGCCATTTGCAACATCTTTTCATGAGATATCTAACGAGATTCTTTGACGTTGAGAATACAACGAATGCATGAAACTTTACTCGACATTCCCGACGACCCGAGATGCTCACTTCCGACGGTTACTTACCGATATTTTCCATAACGAATGCGCCAGATTTACTCACGGCATCCCCGGCGACGATATTTCACGTGTGAGACTCGTCGATGATCCGAAATCATGCGAAGTACGAGGTAGCTCCCCAGATACGTGCCAACATCCACCGCCATTCGTCTCTTGACTGACAGTAGCGTACATCGCAGTATTGAGAATCTCGAAGATTATCGAGACACGCAATGCAGCCACCTACTCGCCCAATCACAGTGTTCTATTTACATTCGCATAGTGCTAGTTCGCGGTAGCTTCATGTCATTTGTCATCACGCTCGAATGCCGTAGATGCTCCGCGTTCGTTGCATCTTTTCACCCGACAAAAGTAAATTCCGCGTGCCAACGAGTATCGGGAGTGCCGAATCAAGTGACGGGCGATCGTTCCAGAGCGTCAATCAATCCGCGCGAGCACGATTAAACGCGGTGTCTCTCAATGTCGTGTTCAACGTTTCACCTCTGAAACGTGGGCAAACGAGATGGAGATGTGATGCGTACACGGCCACCTGATGAGACCAACACTTCGATATCCCGACACTTCTGTTGATTTCCCGTTTCAGTAAGTCAAAGTCTTTTGTTCGCATTAAAATACACTTCACTATCAAGTTTCTTTTGGAAGAAGATTAAGTTTGTTTTCAAAACATTCACTCTCTTTCCGGCTTGTGATAAAGATACAATGATGCTTTCAAAGCGTCCAAAATAAACTTCGCCCAAGTCAGATTCGTTACTATCGACAAGGTGTCGTTAAACCGATAATACAGTGATTTGAAGATAATTAGTTTTGGCATTATCCGTTTGATCATCTGATCAAAATAGTTACGACACAGTTAACCTTTCTAACGCAATATATGAAATCGTGCCCCTAAATATTGACAATCACAAACTCACATGAAATCGTTAGATAACATCTCGTCGGCGTGGCTCAACAGACAAGTAATACAAATAATTATAGAATACTAACATTCCGATCGTTGATAACATTATATCAGAATCGTTCGGAAGCGCAATAACATGCATTTATTGGTTAAGCGTTAAATTTATGTTTCATTTGGCGAGTTTATTAAATGTGTCGATTAGTTATCGAATAAGGAATTTCGAAAGAATGTTTATAAAGAAATTAAGAGACTTAAAAGTGTTTTACACGTCAGCCAGTCGGTACATTCGACAACATTCGTTCTGTGACGAATGAATTAGCCGTAGGCAACATAACCTAAATATCTCGCCCATGATACAGATATACAGAGTGTTTTGTTTGGCTTTTTAGATTTCTAAATATTAAACGTTTTTGTAAATAGTATCTTATAACAAACACTTGAGTGAATTGCACGGTTGAAATCGTTTTATTCGTCTACATCATATTGATTTTTATTCATAACCACGTGGGATAATAATACAAGTGCAACACACGTGGCATTGGTTAAGGTAACCTCTAAACATTGTTATTTCTTTTAAACCCGATACTTTGGGTTAATCCAGTCGTTAATCCAGAGAATATGTCGGAATCACACGATGTTGTCGGGAAGAAACGAAAGAAGAAGCGTTCTCACATGCAAATGGCTAAAAAATTCGCCCGTCAGAGATACAGCGGTAATGAACTAGACAAGGACACCTATCAATATTTGATACGCGTTCTCGAGCTGATGCGTACAGGATTTCCTACATCTGAGGAGAAGATGATGTATGTGCATAACGTCTATCAAGAAACTGTAGGACACGAAGTTGAATATGCACAAAATCAAGTTGGTTCACGTGTCATGGATTCTCTATTGAAGTATGTTGACTTGGAGACCATTCAGAGGCTGGTGAAGGTGTTTGAGTCCTTTCTGAGGAAATTGAGCAGCGACAGATTCGCCAGTCATGTCCTGCAAAAGATAATAGTGGTCTGCGCTGACAGAGGCAACAAGGTATCTAATACGTCAATCACAGACAACGCTACTGTTAATAAAGCAAGCACAGAATCAGGGGACAGTGTTGCTGATGCTGTTGTAGAAGTTAAGTGTTCTGAAATAATGGTTTACAATAATATTGTGCTAAAGCTAAGCCGATACTATATTAATAACATGGAAGAATTTGTATTTGATACTTATGCTAATCATATCCTAAGAACAGTCATAGAGTGTCTAGCAGGACTGATTGAAGATGCTGACAGCGAAGGTAATAAGAAGTCTGTACCATGCCTTGCAAACAGACGTCCTGTAATACAAGAATATAGAGATTTATTGGTACAAAGCTGTGATCGACTACAAAAGTGGCCACAGTTTCTCGAGTTTGGACAAGATGAAATTACTTCTGGTTTAGTACAATGTGTCCTGTATTCATTGAAAGATGTTGATCAGGATTTAACAAGTTCTATAATCAAGAAGATTAGCAAAAAATGTTTTAAATCTGGAGAAGATGAGAAACTATCAAACATATTCAACGCAGAATGCTCCATCAGACTATTGGAAGTTTGTTTGATGGTAGCACCACCAAAGAGCTTCAAAAAACTATATGAGACATTCTTTGCAGGTAATTTGAAACACTTGTGTTTAACACAGAGCACTAATTTCAGCGTACAAAAATTACTGGATCATTGCACCAGCAAGGAAGAACTGGAAATAATATTCGATGAAGTGTCAGAATATTTTCCGGAAATTCTCAAGCGAGGTTTCACCGGGATACTGGCCAGCACTGGAAACGCATGCTTGAGGTTGCAGACGAAACAAGGCGCATTTGTCAATGCTATAATCAAGTTACTAGAATGCGGCACATCCACGCAAGATCAGATGCAGCTTGTACCATGTACGGTAACTCTAAAGAATCCGGCTCAATTAAAAACTTTGCCAAACAATCAACAGCCACCTTTCAACTTACACGGAAGTCTGATGATACAAGCGATGCTGCGTTTCAACAAACCCATCAGGATTGTAAACTCTATATTAGAGATGAACAATGAGGAGTTGCTGCGCTTATTCGGTGATCCGAAAGGCAGTAGAATTCTCGACGCTTTCATAGACAGCAAATATATTGGCGAGAAGAGTTGTGAGAAATTATTTAAAAAGCTACGCGGTACTTGGGCTGAGTTAGCTAAAAGCACGCATGGATCTAGATGCTTGGATAAGATGTGGGCATGGGCGCGCATGAATCAGAAACTCATCGTTATGGAGGAGTTGGCCGCAGCCGGAGAATCTTTGCGATTAACCAAATCCGGAAGGATCATATACACAAAGTTGAACGTGCCATTATTCCAGAGAAGTAAGAAAGATTGGTCGGAGTCGCAAGGAAAAGAGGAGAAGACCAGAGCACTGTTTGCAGATATTACTGGGAATGTTTCTGGAAAATAATAATTCGTAATATTGTAATATCAATTCTCTCACGCGTATATTATATTTATCGGATGTATGATAATCTATATATTCAATATATATCATTTTTTATCAAATATCACATTTATCTTTGTTATTTGCGAAAAGTGGAGAGATCTTTAAAATGATACTAAATATAGAAGAAAGTAAAGTAGATGCATTATATCATGTACCTGCAAAAAATATCACGATACGTTATTAAAAATTAATACATTAAAAGTGCACATTATTTTATCGAATAGCTATCAAGCTTCTAGCTTTTACAATTTTATGCTGATGCTATCCTACGAGAAAATAATGGAAATTCAATCCTATTATTCAGTTGGATAATTCCTCAATTCCTCTAATATAATCGTAGGGAAGAAGGAGGATGCAATGAAAAATAATTTCTTGATATTATTTTTTTCTTACATTCTGACATAGAATAATCATATATTTCGTTAGTTTATAAATACACTTTATAGAATCCATCATACATCCCCGCAACGCAATGTGTCTAGGAAAAATTACAATAATTCGTAGTCTATAGATTTGAGCAAAGTTCCCTAACGCATATGACGATAAATTCACTTCATCTTCATCGTGACTAGACTTAAATATACGTGATAATTATATCCTGAGGTGCGCGCAAAGTAAAAGGTTCGACTCACGTTACATTAGTCGTTACAATCATTAAACCTATCAATTGACTAGGATAAGATCGATGCGATTCGTCTTTCGTGTACGAAACATCGAGATGAGTGTGAATACGCGATAAAATCAAGTCGCTTGTATGTATGTGTGTGTGCGTTTGTCGTATATAAGTATGTATGAGTTTCATCTCGTGATACATCCTATTTTCATAACGATATGTTGCGTTGTAATATTGAGACACGATAAGAAGTTACATTCAGGTGAAAGAATGCATAGTAAACTATTGTTTGGCAGTAAAAAAACAGAAAAATAGAAAGAAAGTAAAACTCGTGCAACATTATAATTTTATGTATCTCATAGATTCAATCAATAGCATCGACGATAGTAAAAGTTCCGTGCTTTGTCAAATCGTTACAAGCAAGCGAAAGATGCAATTGCATCTTCTAAGTCGCGATAAAGAGTTCGCTAATCGGACGAGTGCGTTCTTCGGCTTCGCGTCGTGAATAATTCGATAATTGGCTAATAGCGAAATGAAGAAATGTCTACGCTAATGGGAGAGTTATTTTCGTAATGCTACATTTACCGCTAATGTCGATTTGGGACAATACCAAACGTATGTCTCCGCTGCGATTCACTGTGATCGAATTCATTGATATCTATTATTCCTTCAGTTGCAGAAAGCGCTTAAGACACGCATTATTCCTATTGTTTGATACAATTCTAGATAATGAACGGATTGAAAATTTGCAATCCGGTTAGAGGATAAGAAGAAGAACGGCTGGCACGATGCTGATAAATGTATACGTTCACGACAGTGCTGTGCATGCTGTTCCGCCGGTGCTATCTACCCGGAAAACGCAAACACCTATGTGGTCGGTTACGCTACTTGACGTGAAATCAGTTGCTCAAATTTTGCGTGATTAATTGATAAAGTCCTAAAACACATTTATCATGCCCGACGTTTCATCCGAGGCGTGTAATCGACTTAGTTAAGAAGTTTGCCTGCATATCTATATGCATTTTTGACACTAACCATGCTCGATCATTAGCCCAAGGCAGCCTAAAGTGAATTTTAAACATAGCCTCATAAGATGTTCCGGTCTATTTTACATATCTTTGTAATATGTTTGAGTATCATTATTCAGCTCAGTTGAAAGACAATTTCTGAAGTATTAAAATCAATCAATTGGAGATTCGTATCTTTAAAGATTCGTTTCAATTATGACAGTTGTAAGTTTCTTTTTATTTATCATTATATGACTATTTATCACCTGACTGAAACGCCGGAATTAGAGATGTACCTATTCAACGGACAACTGCTTATCAAAATCAGTTAGTTGCTAGTTCGACCAGCAGTTTGTCTTGACAAGCGAATAATCAACTCTCTCACAAATATGTCGAACTAGAGAGATTCTTCTCCAGACTCATTCACATTTTTAAATGGATTACGAAAGAAATCTCATAGTCAGTTTCGTAGAAAGAAAAGGACACATCGATGAGAGTACGCAGAAGATGTATGATCGCTAAAAACCCTGTAGAAAATAGATGAATTAAGAAGAATTGACAGAAATTGATCATATGAGTGCGAAAATCTCTAATTTTCCAAATTCGGGATCGGCTTCAATAGAATTGTTAATAAATAATTTATCGCGCTTCGCGCTCTTTCCATTTCAACTACCACGAAACACGATCGGAAAGCGAGAAAGCAAAAAACCTAACATCTTTAAACCAATCCCCGATTTCGAATGTCAGATATTTAATTTCACAGGAATGGATTCCTCTCAATTCGTTTCAATTCATCCATCTTTCACAGCGGGGAGTTCTCGTGGAATCGCGCGCACGATTAACGCGACTCGTGATCGATCGATCTGACTGATCGCAGAGCCAGGTTGTTCCTTGCACCACGACGTCACTTCCCCTTCGAGACGCCGGCGGATGCCACCGGTGCAGTATCGACCTCGTTGACGGCCGTGGGCAGATTCGCGGCGGCGACCCTCGGTGGGCTACGCGAAGACGATCTTCGTGGTTCGCGCGGCGGCGGATTGTTGCAGGTCGCGTGATGGCCAGCCTCCCAGTCGCGGTGCTGACAGAAAGAACCGCAGTACCGGGCGATTCCACAGCCCCCGCAAGTCTCCAAAGCGGGCCTGCCGCAGTTCCAGCAACTCTGGAAGAGGAATAAGGATGGTTCACCCCTTAATCGAAGCTTGATTTCGATGGAATCCTGCATCCATTTGAATAATTCAGTATTAATTGGAACAACGCGAAAATCTAGAAATCAAATAAAAGACATATCATATAACGAGGTCCAAACAATTGGGACATCTTAGACAAAATAGGAGGAGAAACAAGAAACATAATCTTCGAGACACTTTTAAGAAACAAGAGCTGATGGCCTCAGAAACGTAAATATATATAAAGACATATCCTGATGTTTAATATCCAAAAGTATTATAATCAATCGTAGGATTGCACTTACGGATCCCATCATACTGGTGAGGTGGACGTCCTTTTCGTCCTCGGTGGTCGACGCCGCCGAATTCGGCGTGGTTGTCGGCGTCGTCACATTCCTGGCATTAGTCTCGACTGCATTCGAGCTTCCGTGAACCCTCAGGAAAGGTCCTTGGCGGAGATTGCCATGATTCCTTTGGGAAAGAGGCAGATCTAGTAACCGGTGAACCCTCAAACGTTCATTCGCTCTCGACTCTGCGACGGCAACCGCCACAGCGCGTTGCATTTCCGCCACCGCGGCCCTCTTCACTTCTAACACAGCTTCCTCTGGAGATTTCCATAAAATCAAACATTCGATTATTATTTATTCGTATATAGGTGAATTTAAAATGCATAGCACGCGAAAAAATTAGCTCGGAAAGTTAAAATAACTAGATTTAAATGATATACATATACATAGAAAGAACGATTTATTGATTCAAATAAATGTTACTTTGGAATAGTCCAAACAAATTATTTGGTTGACACAACAAAAATATTTCTTTGGAACTAAGCCGCCAATAAATATTTTTGTTGCTTCAAACAAAATTTTGTTTGATCAATCGAGAAATTCGTTTGGACTATTCCAAAGAACCGTTTATTTGATTCAATCAAATCGTTCTCTCTGTGTATCTTGTCCAAAAGAAATACTGATAAGAAATACTGTGCATGTGTGCTCGCACACATCTATAAGCTTTAAGAAATTCGCAATAAAAAATTCCAAAACGATACAGCTGAGGATATACGTAAAATAATATGATCGAGGTACCGACCGGCTCTTCGTTTCACTTCAGCCACCTTGTCCTCGGTGGCCCTGATTGTCTGCGCGACAATCTCGCCGGACAGTCGCTTCAGACTACCATCTCGATCACCAGTGGACGACTCAACCTGTACGCCGTTGGTCGACGAGGGATTGTTACCGTTGCTGTTGCCGTTATTGCTGGTACCGTTCTGCGCCGCGACCACACCTGGTGGTGGCGCCGCAGCCGCTGGACTGGAGCATCCTCGACGCTGAAGAATCGCCAGTGCTCTCTTCGTTTTCTCGACCATGCCGAGGATGCAGTTGAGCATCACATGAATGTTCTTCCACTCGTCGTCGAGGCTGCCGCCGTTCTGAGTCTGCAAACTGTGGCTCATCGACTGCTGCGGCTGCTGAGTCAGATGATGCGGCCCGGAGAACGCGTTTATCTGATTAATCTGCACGAGACTAGGCGGCACTGGGCTCGGCCCATGACCGTGACCGTGCGCGTGACCTTGAATCGATCCGCTCGAAGAGTGTAGCGGATGGTACCAGCAATAGGACGGGTCCGTTGGCTGCTGAGGCTGTTGCTGCTGCTGATGGTGATGGCTCCACGGATTGGTAGGCCTCTTGCCATACACCGGCATGTCGTCCAGGAGAGCTCCGTTCTCATAATATCTGAAAAGCATTGAAAAGGATCGCTAACGTTATGGGACAGATGCAGTAGTTGCCGATATGATCGGATTTAGCCGGATTTAGAAAAACGATATAATAATTTCCGTCAGTCAAAGAAACTAGAGAAACTAGCGACGTGGAAGACGAAATTAAAGAAATTAGAAAGTGACTCATGACATCCTTGAATCGTTGAAATATGAACATTCTCCGAGTACTCGCTCGATCGCCGGACTGTATATTACAGAGCGCAGCCCTTTACTTTCGCCCGGCGAATTATTTGGGCATTCAGCGTGGGAGTCGATTGCGTACTAAAGACGCCGGTCCGTGTGTACGTTCATACACCTACGTTCATCGAGACGTGTGCGATGTATATTAACAGGATGCCGATAAGCACTCGAGGCAAGTTCGCCGGTACTCGTGGGCGAAGAGGTAGCAGGCTGCACGGGGACGATGAGGGGCGTTCGGGAAAGGTGGTGCCCCGATGATATATGGAAACGTCACCGGCAGACATATCGAGAGGAGGCCAGGGTGGCATTGCCAGGGAGCACACCGCGTTTTGTCGCCTTCGTATTCGCTTCGCGGCGTCCCTTTCCTCCCACCCTATCTACGTGCATATCATCCTGACCGGAAATCCCGGCCGTCCAGCACTGATTTCATCAACACTTCGGCGGTCAATGGAAATGGCACGTGGAACGCGAATGTTAAGGCACCTCGTCGCGATGATTCTATATTTTTTCGATCGAAGCTACACTGTGTGTATATGTATGTATATGTGGGTAGAAACGTGTAAACGATTCGCAAGGAATTTTTCGCTTTCAATCGCTCGCAACTTGAGAAACGTCGATGCCCCGACATGCCACTAGGGAAAATTCGTGGTTTGTCGAAAAATCGGTCTCTCTAAGGAATATTTTTATGTCTAACGCATCTTACGTATATAAATTGCGTAAATCTTCATTTGGAGTCGCTAAAGCTACCCTCTTGTAACCTTCCGGAGCGCTTCTGCGCGAATTATCAATATCGACGAGGCGTTAAACACCGCGGAGGCAATTTCACGATAATAGGCGCTCGATCGCGATAAATATCGGCGAGAAATGCAGGCCCGCGGCCAAGATTTTTTTTAAACGACGCAGCGCATTTGCGGCTTGGCAAATGTAGTAGGTACGCGTGTACGCGCAGGTGCGTGGCGTTCGTTACCGCGTGAATTATCGTTATGGACGAGCGAAGATTCCACGCGATCTTGCCGCGAGAGAAGCAATTTGCGCGATAATTTATACGCCCCCGTTGTGCTATTCCTCTCCTTTCCGTCGGCTATGCGCGAGGAGAAAGTTGTTATGTCTGCTTCTCCCCAATGATCAGTCCGCAAATACTAGAGAGAGTTACATTTACGATACCTTTAAATTCTATACTTTCCAATAAATGAATGGTTCAACTATACTACAAAAAATATCCTAATATAAAAACTAAAACATATAAGAATATTTTATCGTATCTCTCAGAGACAGCACAAACTTTTAAAGCTTTATAGACTGCGGCCATATTGGATTGTGACGTTAGAAGCGAGAAATGACACGATGATTATTCTTGCGTGACATTTCCAAATAAAAAGATATTTGTGTGAAAAAACAAATCACTTGAGTATACTTCTAAAATGTTTAAAAAATGAACTACCCTATTCCTTTGCTGTTCAATAAATTGTGATAAAATGGACGTGGGAAAAGGTAGATCGGACATGAAGATTGTGTATATCATGTTAATTTGAGGGCTGTTTATTGACAAATGCAAATATCTTTTTATTTGAAAGTCGCATATAAGAATTTGGGACATGCCTTTTTTGCTTCTGACGTCAACAATTCAGAGAAAATACGTCCAAAAGAAACAGGACGTTTTTAAGAGATTTTTTAAAAGTGCGGGTCCTTTACTATACAGCACAAGATCTCCTGGGGACGTAGAAACGTCCCCAGGACGTTCTCAGGACGTACTCTGGACGTCTCGTGGACATCTGTGCTGTTAGAATTGTCTGAGATGTTACATGTTAATCACACAAGTAATGGGTTTCAGCAATAATACGAAAGAAAGCAAATTTTTACAGATTTCTAAATGTAAATCCTCGCTCAAAGCATTTATTTATTCGGCAAATTTTTTGAACTTTGGTCTAAAATAGTGTAAAAAATTTGTCAGACTGGTCCGTTGACTTTTGGTACTTCGATATTATTAAATTCTAACGAACAGCACATGTATGCAAAAGTACATGAAATGCAAAAATAACTTGGCAGTTGTAGTTTCCGTGACCGTTCGCGGGATTTTCGTGTACGTGAAGATTGCGCTTGCCCTCGGAAAAGTGGACGTTCTATTATTTAAGTCGATCGTTTCATCGCGAGACTACCACGAGGAATACGGTGATCTTGCGACGGATCGATAACAACGTCTTTCCCCTCGCCCGGTGTTTTTCAACGGTTTTTTATCCACGCCCCGCTCTGCTGAGTATTGTTAACCGCAATTCACCCCTATCCCTCATAGGTCACTGATGGCATGTTTGCTAAATTTTACAGACTCTCGCTCTGCAGGCCACGCTAACTTAAATAATTTCAAAGAAACTGTATCAAAAAGGTCAATCAATGTGTTACACGTATCGATCTATCACAAAAATTGACTACATCACCCAGACGCTGGTAGCAAACATGTTAATTAAAAAAGTAATCGATAAAACTTAAAAAATATTACTCAAAATTACACTGCGATTCCCTATAATTCGGTCGCGCATTCCCGTCCTCACAAGCTCATGACTCATGTTGAGAACCATTGCCCTTAGGTCTATCGAGTTCGAAGCGGTACGTGTTCACTCACGGGGTGTCGGAGGCACGGCGTTTCGGTGCATGAGCGGTGCCAGGATAATGGTGCAACGCGCCCGCGGCGTTGCTGGCCGAGTGTTGGATAGCGCCGACGCCGGGATTAGAATTCGAGCGCATGGTGTAATGAGTGGAGCACTGATTACCGCCGCCGATTCCGTTCGCCCCGTGCTCCCCAAAGACCTCGACGGACTCGCCGGACGGAGCCAACCCCACGGCCTCCAAAACGGCAGACTCGTTGGACCGGAGGAACTGCACGCAGCTCTGCGAACGTAAGTGTCGTAGTTTCATTAACTCTCTTACGTTGTCAATATCGTAAATCGCAAGTATGTGTCGTTCGTGCCTTTGACGTACACACGTATAGTGTTTGAGCTATTCAATTAACTTTCTGATCTCATTGAAACTCCATAAAACGTAACCCAAGCTATTGTATCTAAAAAAATATAACCTCATCCTTGGCGAAATTCTTTTATATATAAAAGCTATAGCTATAGGTATATCATATGATATATATAGCAATAGCTATAGCTATAAGAAGATTCTTCTAAAACTAAAAGAAAAATACTCTGTGCACTCTTTCAACGAATGTTTTCGCTTAGAATATGAAATTATAAGGGAAAAGAACATCTTGCAACTTTGGCTTTGAACTTGAGTTCCTTTTTTTAAGTATTAAGATATTTTACTGTTAATTTTAGAATCTCCTCTTAGATCATATATAAAAGAATTCTGCTAAGGACAACATTATATTTTTTTAGCTACATAACGTTTAAAACTGAAACTTAATGCATTAGTAGACTAAAGAGTATGTGGTTGAAGATGAAATTTAATATACCAGAACTCTAAATGTATGCTAAGTGTCCTTTACCGAATCAGGTCGTGGCGAGCCGGAGACTGATTGGCTCGCCCGATCACATTGGTTTCGACTTTTAATATTCGTTTCACTGCTTTCTTTATCGCCGTTCCCACCCACCCTGTCGAAGTTCTCGTCGAGCCCCTTATTCCACCGTGCCCGCACTCTTACTCCCAATGCCGAAGTCGGCATGGCAAGGTGGGATTTATCGCTTCTAATTCAATATCGGTACCTTCCAAACCCCCGACCCACCTCGTTCTACTTTTCGTTCCCTTCCTTTCGAGCTCTTTCGCTTTCACGACTCACAATTAACAATCATCGATCGGCAAAGCAGGTACACGCGATGACCGTTCCCCCGCGGTGTGCACATGTGCGAAAATATTCGTGAACAATAATTTGTATGTCCTAAACGTTTCTGCTTGAGAGTTAACAAAAATCTTGAGAACGATTTATCCGAATAGATAAAACAGTTAAATGAGACTATTTGTTTTAATTATATACATGAAGAAAAAAGAATTGGTTGTATCAACGTGAAGTTTAGTTCCAATGAACGAATCATCGCGTTCTAGTTGAAGAGTTTCTGGTCTTTATAACTCAAATTTGGTTCTAAAAACCAGAAATTTCTCGATTGAAACTGTTGATTCGTTCATTACAACCAAACATTATGTCTACACAATCAAACTTGTTTCTCCGTGTAATGAATATTCCCATTTTACTAATGTGGACCAATGTGGACAAATCTCAATACTCTTATTATGACACATTAGCCGTTCAAAAGAGTATCGGTCGCGGGAAATCTGTAGAAATTCTTATCCAACAGGCACGCGAGTTCTTAAATATTTCAAACATCTCCAAAGGATAAATCTCGCAAGAAACCTCGAGGATTTACATGTATATGACGCCGCGCTTCGCGCCGAAGGAGGCCGCGATGGGAAAAGCGGAAAACCAAGCCGTCGCTGTGCCTGCGACTTTCGATCCTTGCGCGCGCGCGCCTTCATCGCGCCGGCAGAAATGTAAATGCTCGCTATTAATTTGCAATTCGTTACCTCACCGGGCGCTCTGTCGCCCGGCGCGCCTCACTCTTTCCGTTTCGCTCGCCTTCGAGACGGGCAACAGCTGCGGGCAGTAGCGTAACCGGAAGGCTCCTATTAATCCCCCGACTTGAATTTCGCGGCGTCGTGGAAATTAAAGGTACGGTGTATCGATTGACCGAAAACGACGAGAGTTCCCTCGGAGCGGAGCTCGCGTTGCATCGCGATTTGCGAATATGAAATTGTTTGATCTCGCGCGATTCGGACGCTCCGCGAAGAGATCGGTCCAAGTTAACAAGATATACACATCACTGCGTAAATCAAATAACCGCTGTTTGCAATCTTGCAAAAGCGATTTTATAACTTTATCATCGTACGACTTCATCGTTCCGTTTTATTCAGAATTGCTTCATCATTCTTATGGCTACGCCACTGGTTAAAGAGGGTTCCTTTGCATCCCAGAAAATGTTCCAGGCTCCCCTCTTTCCGCAACTCATCACTCTATGCGAAACCGCATATTTGACATGTGTATGTAAGAGTTCCAGAAATCTTTCATCCCGACCCAGAAATACTCTTAATTTTTTTTTTCTTTTTTTTTTTAATACGCCATAGATTCGTGTATATCCGACGGAAATGCATAAAGAAGCGCTAATGTATTTTTCTCCAACGTTAATTCTCCGTAAATTCACATGAGCATTACCGTATACGATACAAAATACAGTGTAGGTTGTCCTTCTTTTTTCGACAGATAAATAATTACGTGTGCCGGATTCGAACCAACCAATGCGTGCATGGACGAGCCAAAGCGTACCGGATTAAATCGTACATCCGCGGATTTAGTGCGGATACAGGGAAATTGTATGCCAGGGATAATTTTAAAGACGAGATTATATACATTACAGGCGAATAGTTCCAAGCTCCGGTATAATTCCCTGAAATGCAACGCTGTTTAATCGGCCCTTCCCGCGAATTCTTTCCGCTAAATTATTTCGTATGAAAAAGCGTAGAGTTTTTTATATGGATACGTTTCCACGTAAATCTTGCGCATTCGTTCACTCGTTCGGACGAAAACGTTTGACAGACGGAAAATTAACAGAGATCTCTATTTTTCTACTCCGTGTGCAATCGATAATAATTAAATGCAATTTTCGGACGCGATATATACGTCATCGTGTATCTTATCGTGCACTCTCGCTACGAGGGAGACTGAGGAAGGGCAAAAATCATGACGCTTTTTCCCGCCGTTCTAGCCGCCCGTCTCGCTCTCTCGCTACGTTTCCGAGTCGTTCATCCATCTTGGAACAGACTGGCATACTCCCACCGACGATCAGAAAGTAGCCTGGGAAATTAAAACAGCCCGCCAGCCGGTCAGCCTTGCCTCTGTTGATTTTACCGGGTTCTCCCGCGTTTCCGCGTCGCGCGTTCTCGTTGTACAGAATGTCTCTGTCTCGGCATCATTCATGCAGATTCTACGAGGCATTCAAAATCGATTTCTCCCCTAGCAGACGATCCGACAAAATGCCATTTGTAGTGATATTCGCACAACTCGACGTTCCGAATATTTTAACGTCATAAGACTACAAATCGAGGACGAGGAAATTAAAGAACAAACACTACTTTCATAATGCTCGATTTTGTATCAATTAATATTCTGCACAATGCATGAACGCATTATAATGGTCGTCTCGCGAACCGAGTTAGTTAAAAATTACAAGATCATAAAGAAATAACGAAGCAAATGCACTGTCGCAGCCGTTGGTTTGGAAAATGAATTTTATAATCTGGGAAACTGGCATCTGACGTGCTGGTCGTTTAGAGCGCGGTTTAAAATTTAACTAATGAATAATTAACCAGTACTTCGGCGTACGAGATGTGAATAGAATGTAAATTCGAGCAGCATGCTCTGCACAATGATATTCAAGAATATTATATTATTTCCAACGTATATAATAAAACGAATAAGAAAATTAAAAATGATTATCGACATGCTAAATATGCAGGGTATCCGGACTTAAATGTCCGACTAGTCATGTGCATATAAAACTCGTTAAAACTGAATAGAGAAATCATTGCATTTTGTAAACTTACCACGTAAATTTTCGAGATATTAACGAAAGAAAATTGACCAATCGACATGCGCACGCGATGTGAACTTTATAGCAAACGTGTCTAAATAGACATGAGATTTCTCGAGATAGTCAACAGTGGACATCGAATGGCAGCGAGAAACGTTGCTCGCATCGTTATTCCGCCTCTCGCTGCTATCCGAGACATTTAATAACCTCGAGTCATGCGGGCTCGAGCTGCCAAAGCTCATCGCATCGCATCACGCGTCTTGATTGACCAAATTCCTTCCGTTAGTACCTCGAAAATTTATGCGTTACAAAATGGTAATGATTTCTCTAGCGATTTAACGAGTCCTGCATGTACATACGGTGTCATGGATGCCCGAATATTTACTAGATCGAGGATACGATTTTCAACCTTATACCAACGATGTTTGAAATTAAAAATCGTATAAATAATTCTAGTTAGAATAGTAGAATTATGATGGTTTTAATCATAATGGTTTCAATCTTATTCGTATACGCATAAGGTCGAAAATCACATCCTAACTCTCGAGTTAGGAAATATATACACGACCGGTCGGACACTCTACTGCCCACTGTGACTCTGAAGTCACAATTCAGTTTCATCATTATTTATATATATGTTGTTCCTATCTTAACCGATGTGACGTGAAAGTTATATAGCTGTCATATGTCATATAGCTGCCTTTTTTTAATATGTTGGCAACGATAGTAACTGTCCAACGTGAAAGTGACAAGCCTATTTTGGAAAAATAAAAAATTAGAAAAGTAAAATTGCACCTTATATGTATTGAGTACTTTAGTTTTAAACATTCTATATATATGAAAAAATTTTTAATTAATGTGAGCAGTAGAGGATTAAGTCCAGACCTCTTGTGTTACAAGAATTTACTGAAGCTTAACTTCCTTCATTGATGTCCCGTTAAAAAATGTAATTCTTATATTTAAGTCATATATTCTTGATAAACCACGCATTGAATGAATCGTTTCCTAAATTTCTAAAGAAGAAAGGAACTAAAACTTCTCTTTCCTTTCTCTTTCTCTCTCTCTCTCTCTCTCTCTCTCTCTCTCTCTCTCTGTGTCTCTCTTCCTTCCTCCCTCTTTATCTCTTATGCAGGAGTGAGATAAAATTGCGTTCCCTTGCGTGACCTCACGGTGACTTGACCATTATCTTGAATCGACATACTCCGTGGTTTGTATCGCTACTAGTTCTGCCCACAGTATCGTCAGAAAGCCAAACGCGCGAAAGGATTTCGGCGGTGCGGTCGCACTCGGCCGCGCGCAGTAGTGCATACAAATTTATGTGCCGGCGCGCGAATCGAGAGAAAGAGAGAGAGAGAGAGAGAGAGAGAGAGAGAGAGAGAGAAAGAGAGAGACATCAGGCACGTGCGGCATCTTCGGAAGGGCGCAGACCGGTTCCTGCATAACAAACGCCAAACTGTGATCTTCCCTGCTCGGGATGCCGCGCGTTCCGCGGCCGTACTTGGAACGAGGATCGGCCACGTGGGACATCGATCTGCTATTTAGTGTGCATAAGATTGCGCACGCGACTCATTTTCCTCTTCCATCGCGATATTCGTTCGAGTGCGTAATAAAATAATAAAAAAAAATGAGCGCATTGCATATCATTAATGGGGACATGTGATTGCGAAGAGTGCAATAACCGTGCTAATCGTACCGACAATTGGCGAGGTGTGTCTCGTTTACACGACAGATGTGCAATTAGTAGCGCAAATAAGGGTCCTTTAATAAACCAGATTACATAAGGAAGATATTTCAAGAAGAATTTAAATAATAACATATATAAGAACACATAAGAAAGATATTTCAAGAAGAATTTAAATAATAACAGACATTTTAAGAAAATGACACGTATTTAAAATATTTGATTATGCGCCGTAGATTCTTAAGCCGTTGAGACCATATTTATTTCCGTATTAATATGCATAGCTTCCCGAATTATGTAGTATTTTTTGGAAGATATAAAAATGTCGCAGCTCTTGATGCGACTCTCAATAAACGACGAAATACTCCAACGAAGAAATATTTTTGAAAGCTATCTCTATTTTCTTCTGCTCGCAAAAGGTCACAACGAAGCGACTCGTTGTTTTCGTATTTGGACATAGGTACGCGCAATGAAACAAACCAGTTATGCTGTCTCAATGGGTTAAGAGAAATATCTGTGAATTTAAACTGTTTGGTGATATTTGTAAAAAAAATAATATTAACATGTCCTCTCGCGTGCTTTCTAGTATTTCAAGTTTAGCAATGAAAAAAATAACATTTTTCGACCGCGACAAAGATCCTGGTGTTCAGAGACGGGTAACAATTTTTGCAGTGCATGTGGAACGCGCGTCTTCATGCATCGTTACGCGCCGCGCCACGTTGCACACGGGGCGCAGTGATTTATGACCACCGTGGTGCTTCCAATAAAGCATCGGGCTGCTTATGGATCAGCCGTCACCGTCATTCTCATTGCAGACTCGTGACGTTTCATGAAATCTGGGGAAACTCGTACGGCTATTTCTTTATCTTGCTACTCGCGATTATTGGGAGCACATAGCGGTGACCAGTCAATCCGAGGAATCAATCGATTTTTTACCTGGTTGCTCGTTCTGGCCGCGTTGCTCAAGTCCCTCTGCAGGGAGGGTAAGGTGTGCTTGAGATACGGCAAGACGAATCCTCGGAGCGGAAAGTTGGTCGCTTCCTGCAGCGCCGAGTGGAATTCCTCCGCGGTCATGCTGCCGCTCTGCAATTAATATACAATATACGCGGCGTGCGCATTTAGCCACCGTAATTCAATCTTCGACAAAAAGATCGAATCCCGGCCGGTGTGACGGACGCCGCGTTTCTCGTCCGTGCGGAACGAGTGCGCGCCGCTTTGGTCGCGGATTTGGTTTTGCGTTTGTCACGTGCCGCGATCGTTTTACAGTTAAGCACGGTCACCAGATGTCACGTTTCCGGGACGTATGCACGCTCGGTACACAACGACGACATTATGCATTATGTACGTACTTTGAATATTTACGAGCTGTTTAACGACACGCTACGACCGGCATCGATTAACTATGCTTTTTTTCATCCGAGTCGCGCGTGCACGCATGCACGCCGCGTGTTATCCGTCGCCTGTTAGTTACAACTGGACCCACTGAGTTTTGATGGCCACACTATTGTCCAAAAATTACCAGTAAAGTGCTATTCAAATGTGCTCTTTCGTAATTGGGTGATTAACAGCTTCGAATTCGCTAGCAATATATCAACGAATTTTTCCATGATATCAAACAGACGTGTGTTCTCCTTAGAATCGAATTACCCAAAGAAAAAGACTAATTTGATACTTCATAGAGTGAAGTTTGCACACGTGCACGCACACAGAATGTGTTTTACTCTACGGATGCATCCCACGCATTGCAAAAATACGCTAATGCGTACTGCGTGTTCCGCGATTTTAGCACGCGACGGAAAGCTCCGTCAGCTGGTACACGTATGTTACTTATCGTTGGTACTGAAAGAGTTTCTAAGTCCAAAAGGTCTTGCATGCATAAGAGGTACTCGGCAAAATAGCCGATGGAACGCGCGATCGTCTGACAGAGAGTGCCAGCATGAACTAACGGTTCATATCGCGTAAATCGCAGTGAATGTCACGTTGAAATTTATCGGAATGTCAATAGGGGATTAAATGAATTTCTGAAGAAAGTTCTTCTTCTATCTCGCGTTTCTACCGTTATTATTGCCACGCACTGACATATCATACATTATTAACGATTGAATAGTACCATACGTCTATAAATAATATCAAACTTTTCTTCTTTGAAAGCAATTAAGATAAAAATACCTGGACACTTTAAATACGCATATTTAAAGACCAAACTGTAAGAATGTCCAGAATTAGGTATGTGCCCAGATATTGATACTTTTATCTTAATATTTTTGATAGAAATTAACAGTTTTTTTCTAACCATGTCTGTGTACGTCTAACACAGCCAAAAATTTACAACCTAAAGACGACTGAAAACGCGATGACACCTCGTGAAATATCGTTCACCTACCAGAAGCGCAAGCACCAGCGTGCGCACTGTGTCGCCCGTGTCCGTTGAGATGTCGGTGGCGAATTGCACCAAGGTGCCCAGCAACCTCTTGAGCTTGCCATGGCCCGCGAAGATGCTGCTGACGCATCTGGACGTGCCGTTCGCCAACGCGACTCCATCGCTCTGCTCGTCCGTCCTGCACGCGTTGGGCCCAACATTAGCACCAGATCCCTCTTCAAGCTCTGGCTTGAGCGACTGCGAGGGCAAGGGGCTGTCGTTGTCGGAGGACCTCGAGCAACCGGACGCACCTTTGTATTCCGCCCGAGAACCGTTTGCTTGCTTCTGCTGACCGGTCAAAGGCGCCGGACCAATCCTTTGATGCTGCTGAGAGGTGGGCGAGTGCGCCTCAGGCTGGACCACTTCCTCTCGTGACTTCTCCCGCGGCGCGGACAATGCTATAATGAAAATCGGTCAATGTGTTTAGGTTCCGCGTCTGTTGGTATCAGTCAATGACATCAGAACTCAAAAATACGATTTTAATTCTCAATTTGTGAAATGAATTTCATGTATTCGAAGATAAGACTCGCGTGTAGAGTAAGTAACCAATCGGTCAAATTGGTATAACAAAGTTGGATAAGTGTCGCTATCTAAGATTTTAATCAGAGAATTCCTACACGGTACAGCATGGTTAGCCCACATATAAATCCGATTGTGCCAACCAGATTCAATAGTAAAATACGGAACAATTAATTACGTGGTCGCTGTAATCACAGAGCAATTGTTGAACGTTGCAACTCAACTGTAACGATATCTGGTTGCTCCAACCAGAGTGTATCCATGGTAAATATTACCCCAAGAGATTTCTGTTTGCCACAATCATTAGATCACTACAACTACATTGAATATAGTTGATAGACCAAAGTAACTGAGTTATAAGTAACTGAGTTAACCATATATATTACTATCACACAAGAATAACTAGGATGAAACGACTATGCTACTCGCAATTAAATATTTCTGATTATATGCATCAAATCTTTTTTTCCGTGTACACTGAGAAAAAAATGTTTGATATTTGTAACTATAATCATATAGAGAAATAATTATTATAAATTGTATATAAATTGTGTAAAATTTCTTAAATTCCATTATAATGTTAATGACGATAATCTTACATGCATATTACTACTATTATTTTATTACAAGAAATATGATTAGGGCTAAAAATAACTATAATTTTAGTCAAATTAACTAATTTTTCTCTCAGTGTACGGTCCCATTCGAAGATCCCGGCGAAAGTAAAATTTACACCATTTCGCCGACATGAAAATTGTTATTTGATAATATGCCCGTTGAGACCAAAGCAGAAGAGCTTTTTCATTGCGCGGATTAAGCACTCCGCGGCTCTAACGGGCCATCCAATAAAGCCGCGAGAGCACGAGGTTCTCAAGAGGCGGGCATTATTTACACTTGAAACCGAAAGAGACCCATTCAGCTCGAGGAAGAGAACGAACGGCCGTGCCGCAAACGTCCTTTATGTCGTACATCCGGGACCGTCAACCATGAAGGCACGTGGAGCGGGCGGCCGGATTCGTCCGTATACTCTTCCGCGCGAGCCGACGTGTATACACGCACCTTGCGTGTGCACGCCTACGTACACAGGCAGGCCGCGCGTGGATGCAACGGATAACATGCAATTACGGGCCGTGTCATCCACCTTGTCTTGTTCCCATCCTATACGCGCGGCGCGTTATCTCCCGTGGAACGCCTGCGGCATGCGTGGCGAAAACGGCGAGAGCATGTTGAGTATGCCGATAACGAAATGTTACAGACCCTACCCCCGTCGCGTTTTGTGTAATGTTGATCAGCAGCAGCGAGTGGTCCGGCCAGATCGTCTCGTCGGCGAGCTTCTTCAGCACGTCGAGCTATCTCGTTGCTTTTGATCTATCGCCGGATCGTCGCGAAATTATTAGCAATTTCGTGTCAACACTTGGCTATGCTCAAGCAAAAAATTTCACTCTCACGATGGGAGAAAGAACTCTAATCGTTGCTTTAATCCTTCGAATTAAGATAAATATCTCAGTAATTGAACATGCCTTAATGCTGTGTAATTGAGACGTTAATAGCATCTCTGTATTTAATAATTGTAAACAAATCTTTTAAATTTTGTTAAAAGATATTTCTTTATGCGAATTTGTAATATTATTTAATGGGCTTCTCTAATAATTGAGCTTGTATTCGTTAATTAAAATATAATTCATTTTTCAGTTCAATTATTGGCACAATCGATTCAATTTTGGTAATAAATCATTAATCATTAATCATTAATCATAAATCATAAATCATTAATCATTTCTTGATAAAAATATAAAACTAATCGTGCTTTCTTATTAGTTCAATCGTTGAGATATTTACTTAATGCCCGTTTGTTAACTACGCTGGATTTTGCTACGCTGGATTAGATTAAGCATATTAAGCGTATTCCTATTATTTTAATTTTGTTTTAAATGAACATATGATAAAGGCATACGTAAAAATGGAACGTTAAAAAATATAAAATTAAAAAATGTCACGAGCAATAATTGCAGTAGTATCGCGTTTTACGTATGAAAATTACTCGATTTGAATTAAGTGTTAATGAGTGAAGTGTTAAGTGTAATGTCTAAAGAATTCGTGTCACGCAATTCGTAGGACTCTGTTAAATCCGCCGAGTTAAATATAATGCGAGTTCACGAGCAGCGCAGAGACTCGTATTTTGGCCGCCTTCTTTTTTAGAGTATCACTTAATGATGTAATCGCCTCGCTGAAATCGCAGTCATATCCGCGAAGTACCACCACTATAATTCGCACGTCGAGGAATTTCTGGTTTTACTGCCGCTACACCTGTACACGGCGCGCGTGGTCCGCTCATAATTGAGGAGCAGCCGCAGATATCCCATAAACGTGGCTTAAAACGCAATGTAAGACAGTGTAAAAGCTAACGTGAGGCGCACCATTGATGAATTGATCACTCTATCGACTATCGTCAGATTTAAAATGTTTCGCACGAGTCTTTTTCGTCGATCAAACGACTCTCATGCTCGATCATTATCTCACCCGAACATTGTGTTCCCAACCGTCATTAAGATAATTATCCTCACCTCCTCCCCTGAGATTAAGCAACATGCAACGAGATGCGAGGAATAATTGATGCAAAACTCACACTTAACTTCGCGCTTGTAACACACGAGGAGACTGTCAAACGAGACAGTCAGTCTATCGACGAAGCAAGCGCGGATGATCCCATTAAGCTAATGGAACTGATCGCTTAGCAGTGCCGTGGGCGTATTTTTGCGTGAGTGCGTAAATACATGGCGCATAGGTGTGTCGAAGAAAAGAGAAAGGCAGACAGAGAGAGAGAGAGAGAGAGAGAGAGAGAGAGAGAGAGAGAGAGAGAAAGAGAGGGAGAGAAAGAGAGGGAGACAAGCCGCACCGTGCAAGTAAGAGGCAGAGGCAACGACGGAGGAGGAGGTCGACGCTACCGTGTCACTACCACCTGACGCCGGTAGCCAGTAGGTAATTACCTGTACCTGAACTCCCGACAAACTAAACTACCTCACGGCTTATGCGATATGACGGGGAACTGAGTACACACAAGCGCCTTCCACCGCGCGCGCTTGCATAAAGGCGAGGTTACGTAGGGCGCCGTCGTGATATCCCACGGAAAAATCTCCTCGATGGTCTCGGTAACTGCCGCCGCAAGCTGTCGGGTCGGGAGATTGCGAATAGCGATTGCGAAAATGGCGTTTGCACGCTTCCGCGGGAACGACCGAGACCGGGGCGAGTCAAAAAATGGAAATGTCGGAAGGTCTCGGGAAGGGGTGGTCGTCATTCTGATACAGACCGCAATCGCGACGCCTTTGAGCCGCGCGAATTTTCTTTAAGCAGCGCTTTTCGATGTGTACACAGAATATTAGGCGCACACACGTGCGCAACGCACATTAACGCAAGGACTGACTATCTCTCTCGTCGGTTCTTTCATTAATATTCTGTCGCGAACGATTCTTTCCATGATCATCACCGGAGGCAAATTAATTGGCCGGTTGATGAACGCCATGTGCCCCAGGTGAAGCAGCGCTTAATTGCGAAATTTAGCTCTGTAACATTTATAACAATATTCGATTGTAATACGCAATAAATATATGATAACTTTTCGTTCTTCTTTCTCTCTCTTTCTCTCTCTCTTTCTCTCTCTCTCTCTCTCGCACTGATGTTTATTCGCCATCGATTTATTAATGTCAACGTCGTTTCCCCGTGTGACACGCGGAAGTCAAAGTAAAATACCAGCCGCGGAAATTAATTAATTGCGCCACCACGAGACATTTCCTTTTAATATGCGCTCGGCGAGCACGAGTTTTGCCGAATTTATCGGGGATAATTCGTCCGTCTCTCGATTCAAAGCGGTTAAGTATAGCCGAGCGAGCTGATAGGACGGCTGTGTCTCTCTAATGACGATGACTTTACGATACGAAATCGTGGCGATGCATCTCCTCGGTACAATGATGGCACACATGCGGGTGCAAGCATCCAGGATCCATTCATTTTCGAATCGTGATGTCTCAATGCGCCGGTGTGATTAAGTGGGCAACGATAAAACGAAGATTAATTATTCCCGGGACGAATGCGACTCGTCTCGTCGCCCGGTCATCTCTCTCTCGCACTCTATCTGTCTCTTTCCGGCCAGCCTCTTCTCGGCACGAGGATTTCGCGCGTGACGACACGACGAACGAGCGGGAAGCCGATTATATATTCCAAATAAAATTATAATTACAATTATGCACGGTATAATGACATGCAAATAATGCACGAACACCGTAATTATGTAAAATGGATTATAACGAAGTAATTAACGAACATGATTATTGTGGTACACGATGCCATTGCATTATTATTCTGTTATTGCTCCGACGAAATAATTAGAATATCAATTGTCCGATGTAGTGTCATTTATCGTCGTGGCAACCAACGAAATTTACGCAATGTCACGTAATGTAAAAAAGAACGTTTAAAGAGTGCTCGTAGGTATCGAAGATATGGAGCTGTGCGAAATCGTGCTCCGCTCTCAACACCGACTTCTGCACTCGGTTCGAGTAATCGTTACATCGCAATTAACACAAACATAACATATATAACACAGAATGTAACTGTAACAAATAGATAAAGTACGATCAGATGATTAAAGTCCGTATTAATAATCCTTGCTCGAAATTTGTCTTAGGTGAGATACTCAGATTTGAATTTAGAGTTAGATGTGAGCTGAATCACGATTACAAATATAACGTCACGCATATCATATATGATTCGGTTAAAAAACTCAGATCCAACTCTAAATTACAATCTGAATATCTCACATAAGAAAAGCTTCAAGTAACGACTACTAATATGGACTTTAAAGTTCTGCAACATCGTTCCTCTC